ACAACTATTTGAAAATCTGCAATCTAAGGGCGCAAACAAATCTAAATACTGAGAAAATCGCCTTTAAAGTTGTCCAAATGAAGTTCTTAGCAGTGCATATTACTAATCAAATTAAGTTTTGATATATCTTCATGGAACATGATCTTTACTTAATATCCTAATGATTTTTGGCATAAAAGAAAAATTGATAATTTTGACCCATACAATGTTTTTTTGGCGATTGCTAAAAATATGCCCCAGCGACTTAAGACTGGTTTTGTGGTCCAGGGTCACATATATGAATATTCATGAGTATTTTACCTGTGTTTGAGATGTGCCTCCAGGTCACAGCGTGGCATGCTGAGAGAACAGGAGGGCGTTAGCGGACAGGTGACCGACAACTTATCCAGCAGCTTGTGCACCAGAATGCTGGAGCGCCGGCAGACCTGCAACTGTAGATGCGCACGGTCCAGCGGACAAAAGTCCCGTTCCTGCAGAAAGCTGCGCAGGCAGCGGGCACAGAAGGTGTGGCCACATGGTGTATCCAGGGGCTGAACTAACGGCTGAAGACAGATGTGGCACACCAAATCATCATCCACTTCCAAGCGATAGTTATAAAGGTGATTCTCCCAGGTGCGGTGAATCTGTCCACATTCAGAGCAAAGGGCCTCCAGAAGAGCTTCGCTCACCATGCCCGGGTCCACTCCCTCTCCCAGACTGCCCATTGCGCTCTGCTTCGGTTACACAAACACACTTAGTGGCTTGGTTACGGGGGCGTCCGTCCCATGGGCGTCAGAGGCTGTGCGACTCCGGCAGGGGACGGCCACCCCCTGGTAGACGGTGTGACATCACTCTGAAGGAGAAGAAGTGAGGTAACTGTTCTGAATGAGAGAACATGTTTGTGTGTGTGCCATGTGTTGTGAGGATGAGATTATGTTGCAGAGCAGTGTGGGTTTACTCCTGCACATTAATCTGACGGTGTAATCTCTTGCTCCCTCCCCTGGAGCAAACTTTCAATCCCACAGAGAGAGAATTATCTAGGATTGAGGCAGGGAGCGCAGAGTCAAGAGGTTTTGATATGAAAGTAAGAATGGGGGGCAAGAGGAGAGGACAAAAAAATATAGATACTGTATAAGATTTGAATGGATAACATTTGTTCATAAAACCCAGATTGGGGGGTGGGTGCAAACTCATCCAAGTCATTAAATACAAATATTAATCAAAACCTACTAGATTATAATTAAAATTATTCCTCTGAAGGCCCTGTTTCTAATTTGGATACATTGCAGATTTAAAGGAACAGTTCACATTCTCTCTATATTTACTCACCATTATGTCAATTCAAACCTGTATGACTTTCTTTCTTTAGTGGAACACAAAAGGTGAATTTCTGACGAATAGCTTTTCATTACAGCTAAGGTAAATGACTGGGCCTCCAAAAAAGCACCATAAATGTAACATAAATGTGATTTGTGTGCTGTATTTCAAATCATGCACTAGTTTATTGGCCATTTTTCGTAATAAGTATTGCTTTTTATTTCTCCTCTTTCCTATTACTCGTTTCGCTTCTGTTTCAGTTTTTATAACCATTTCTTACTATGTGTAAGTTGTTGTTTTTTTAGCATGTGTGTTTGGCAGTGTTATTTTTTTTAGGATTACTGATAAACTACTGTCGTTTGATTTGTATTATTTGTATTTTTTATTTCTTTTAATTTTAGTTACATTATGTCTGAATTTAATATGTCTGTATAGGTCTTTTATTAAGTTTTTAGTTTTATTTAATTTGAGTTATTTTAATACTTCAACAAACTAAATGGAAATGAAATAATATATATTGAATTTATAAATGTGTATGTATATATACAGTATATATGTATGTGTGTGTGGTTGTACATACACATATGTAGTTGTTTTTTTGGTGTTTGGCGTAGTGTTATGTTAGAATCATTATTATACTCTTATACCTTTTGTTCTTTAATATTTTGAATTGTTTTTAGCTTCATTTTTTGTTTTTCATTTAAATGTTACGTTTTGAAATTTTGTTATATGCATGTCATTTTTATTTAATCTCTTTATTTTTAAAATGTGTATAAGTAGTATTTATAAAGTTTTAGCTTTTAGTTTTGGATCTGTTTTTAGTTGTTTTAATACTACAATTGATTGCTTCTGTTGTCCTCATTTGTAAGTCGCTTTGGATAAAAGCGTCTGCTAAATGACTAAATAAATAAATAAATGTTTCACAGAAAATCCAGATACCTGCATTAGCTCATATACAGGAGTGGAAAAACATGAGGGTGAGTACATATGACAGAATTTTCATTTTTCTGTGAATTTTAAACTGGGCTCTGTGAAAAGTCTAGAGAAAAAGAAATGAATACATTTGATTAAAATAAATAAAACATGATATAAATAAATAAACAATACATCTAACAGTAGTACATTACTAAGCTATAGTGAGCAGGCAAAAAATTGAATAGACCTTAGTCAGGGTAGCACCATATTTAATTTTTGACAGGAATGAAAACGAGGCTGTGAGGGATAGAAGTACAGTGCATTCACTGAATTGTCATTGGAAATGGAAAGTTGTGAGTTATGATCGTATAGTGCGTGCCATTATAAAGACTGTAAGTCTATCCCTCACAGCCTTGTTTACGTCCGTGTTCAATTCAATATACCATCTAACCTGTTTAAGTTCTATGTAATAAAAACGAAATATTTTCCAAAAAATACAGTGTACACATAAATTTTTACATTATAAATTGGGCCTTTATATATAAAAATATAGATCTGCCTTTTTAAATTTTAGAATGGGGGTCCCTCATATGAGGATGATCAAATTTGGGGTCCGTAGCATCGAAAAGATTGAAAACCCCTGAACGAGACTTCTAATAATTGGCTTTTCGAGGCCAGCAATCAGCAGGGGGCATTCTATTGGGCCAACGATAACTATAACGTTCGCCTGTATTCACAGTATCTGACAGCTGTGCGTCCATGAGCAGCCCCACGCTTGGTCTGTCGACAGCATCTCCGTGACTACCTGCCTCTGTTTTTATCTTGCAGCTGGACATGAATAAAACATGAGGACACAAGGCTTCTCTGTTCCCACTACAAAGCCCTGTCAACGTCTCATCAGACACACATACCCATGCTCACTCGTCCCGCACACTGTAAATGTCTTAATGTGGATAGTATATGAAGCAGCTTGTGCTTAAACCTCATCCATTGATAGCATGATGTGGGACTTCACTACATGAGGCTGGAATGCTTAATGGCCTTTGGGCAGCTGCCATTAGTATTTCTTCTATGCTGGATTCTCTGATGACTTTTAATCACAAGGAAGTGTTTAGATATTGACTGCAAGGGCTGTTCAAGGCCACTCACTTGTTGTATCCTTGTATCTTTAGCTGCTTGTCACAATTCTCACTTGCAAAATGGCACATTCGTGCTTATCTGGCTGCCTGGCGGATGAAGAATTAAATGTTTGTTCAGCTGAACTGACATAACAAAACAATACAATTAATGGTTGATCTTTAAACATCTACAAAGGAAGCAAACAATATCTGACATGTTCCATGTAGAATGATATGCACAACTCTAAAGTCTTTATTTATTGAGCAAATGGCTTTCAATGACATGTTTCCATTCTGCAGTCCAGATCCATTCACAAACCCCCATTTTTGACACATTGCTTTTCCAAATCAATACACTGACCTTATTTGTTTTAGAAAGGTTGTACATTCACAGGTAGGCAACAAAAATAAATTAATGGAGGGAAGGGGAGGAGAAATAACGGCGCTTTCTCTGTTGAATTAAAATGTCTGGATGCCACCTGCATGAATTGTCTCGTTAACAAGGTGTATCCAATCCGGATCTATGACACGCACAAATATCAATATCTCATTATTTCTGGTACAGAGTGGCTCGCTGTAAATGTTAACGTTTACTGTCTCTCTCTCTCTCTGTCTGTGCCATCATCGTCTGTACAATAGGCGACAATGACATCTAACAAAATGCTTGTAGTAAAAAAGAATCGGCGGGTTATAATATGAGTATTTGAATAACATTACCTATTCGCGTTCCCCTCAGATGGTGTGAACTCTGGCCCCGAGATGGGAGAATCATGGAGCTCAATCACATCCACCGCAGCTTGCCCGAGAAGCATCCGCTCGTCAAAACACCCCCGTATCTGTCTTGTAGCGAAGTCCGATTCGTGAAGGAATGGTTCGTTTGAGTCGACTCTTTTGAAATAATCAACTGAACCGGTTCCTAAAACTGATCTGAACAATTATTGCATGTATTGGAGTGAATCAGCCCGAGCTTCTCTGAAACTCTTCTCTCGAGTCAAAAACTGCCCGACTCGTTGAACCGAGAACCGTCTCTTTCAAAAAATGTCCAGACGATCATAAAAGCATTTGGAGTAAAATGAGGATTTGAATTAATAACTTGCTTTATAGCCGAATAGCACTGTTACAAATAAAATGTTCTGAAAATATGTTTATGGCTTGATTGTATGACTTTTATCAACAAAAAACAATGCGAACGCAAATCAAATAGGTTAATTTTAAATGTCTTTTTTCTTTTTTTTTTTGTTGCAGCCAAGAGATATAAATGAATTTAATGTTTGCTTATTATAAATGCAAATTATATTTAAGTTCCAATTTGTGGATTTCCTGGCTTAAGTGGCTAGCAAATTGAACTGGGACACATATTACAATACGCACCCTTGTTTATTAAAACGTAAGCGAAAATAACATAATAAATCGCGTTTTAGAGCATGTAATGGAAGGTTTTAGAGTATTAATATGCCAAGAGACCATGTAATGACGTAAAGAACCACCGAATCATTCTTGAACCGCTTCTTTCAGACGAACTGTTCAAAGGAACCGATTCTGGAAAATGACTCGGCATGGAGGCGGGCACTCACGCTGTCAATCGAATAGCAGGTGTGACCATTGAGGTGCCTGCTTGAAATACGATCGTGGAACAGAACGTCAGCCAAATTCATGTTTTAGACCTTGTACTTACTAATTATATATACAGAATGGTTTCAAAATTTTAGTTTGAATTTTACTGTCATGCTTATGTCCGCAGCTGACGTAGGTTATATTTTTACATCCGTAACTTGGGTTAGGATTATGATCAAGGACTAAATCAAACGGGGTCCTAATTTGGGTCCTCGAGTATAGTAAGTAACACCAGCCAGTTAGCAAGCGGAGCTGAAACGAATTAGAATTTAACACTGAATTTGGTTTAAGTTTAAATAAATCATGGATGAAAGTGAACTTGAGAGGTAGGCTATGAAATTCCTAAAGATATTGTTTTTTGCTTACAACCATTTTAGATGGCTACTTTGTTATATTATGTTAAATGTGTGACCCGGCTGAGTGCAACTCTTAACGGTCAGTGAAGATGTGTGAATAATGTGTGGCCAGGTATCATACTACATGTAGCAATCATCTCTTTTATTCGAATTATTCGTTTAAATAAAAATCAACCATGCGCATCATGGCATGACCTGTTCTAGGCTTCTACGTTGTGATAACAACATTAACATTAACGTTAGTTGTAAGTGAGTGTCACTGCCTTAAAGATCAAAGTACTGTTAATACAATTAAGCATTACAGAAATACTGAAAATACTGTCCCTGCAGTCAGGAATGACAATGAAACAATAAGTGCTTCGGGCCCTTAGGTTACAGGAGTACAGTTACCAGTATCTCTCATTCATGTAAATATGCTTTCCTCCAACAGGAAAGCCGTGGAGGAGCTCCTTAAAGAAGCCAGCAGAGCAAAAGTCCGTGCTGAGACGATGGGTCCTACTGGATGGTAAGTGTAGATATTCATTTTGAGAGGTGCAGAACGTTTTATTTGCGGTCTTAATTGATACTTTACAATTTAGAAGGCTTTATATATTATAAACGAATACTTTCGCCATCACATGTTATTGTGCCTGTATCTTGCATCTAAAAGCTGGTTAAATTGCTGTATTCTAGGATTCAGTGTCCGCTGGAAAGCACAAACGAGCGCTTTCTGCTGAACTCTCTCAGTTCCCCTGCTGTGACGCGTCAGCCTACAAATCAGCGCGCTTCTGAGAGAGAGAGAGACGAACATAGGTACAAAAGAGCTTGTGAAAAACATCGTACCACAGACTGTGAAAAGTGCAATCCCAAAGTAGTTCATTCACACAGAAGATACCGCTCCGATTCTCATTCACACACTTCAAAACACCGCTCTTCCTCACGCGGTCACTCCCCATCCCGAAGACACTCCCCGCACCTCTCCCGGAAGTCAGAAAGGACTCGATCTCGCTCACCAGTGCGGGACAGTTCTCCAGATGTCAAAAAATACACTGACAGTGGGGGGAAATGATGGAACGGTCTTTGTAGAGGTTTGGTTTTGAGCATACATTAGATCTCTACATTAACACACCTATGAATTCCTACAATTCTGCAAATTTCCGTTTGCCATTATAGGTGCTGAACAATAATATTAAAATAGCATTTTTAAAATTAAACGACGGAATTCGATTATTGAGAGAGGCTGTGAATATCATTTTGACTTGAAAGGACGATTTTCAGAACTATTTTAATACGACATTGTGTATTGCAACTTTCTCAGGCTTGTTTCCTTTTTTTATTTATAGAAATGTATTGTTTGTATAAACATACTTAGTGTGTGTGTGAATACAGTCACACACTAAGTAGGATATATGTTTATATATTATGTGTTTAAGTTGTATAATTTCTATTTTCTCAATAATGGTCTTTTGTTTAAATAAATAAATAATGAATGATAATAATAATAACGTTTAAAATGAACGTTTGTGCAATAAACGCGAGTGTTTGTGGGCGATGTTTCTGTCATTCATGCATTCAGTGCCTGGTGCCAGAATGAATTATTACACCTGAGATTTTCCTCAATGGGCGGCTTAAATTTAAGTTTAAATGTCATTATCATTCCTTTGCGGCGGTTTGACATGTTTGCCCAAGCTTTACTGTCGCCACTAAGCAAGCATATTTTATTGCCGTTTGTTCTCTTCCACTCTGATTATTTCTTATCGAAGAGTCTGAAAAGTAAAAAGGCTCGGTTTCCGTGATTCACCTGCACTGTAAAAAATGACCGTGGATTTAACAGTAAAAGACTGTAAAAATGCTACAGTAAAAACCTGTTAAATGGTTAACGGTAAATTCCCCTACTATATACGGTGAAAAACTGTATTGGACATTACATGTATTGAACATAAATTTTACGGTAGTATACCGTTTTTGGAAGTGAAAAATACCGTATAATTTACAGTGAATAACCGTAAATTTACATTCCAAGAATTCCCTGCGTTACATTTCAAATTTGATGTTTTTTTGTTGAAATAACTGTTTCTTCTTAGTTTTTTCTTATCAGTTTTGTATATTAGGGAATTTTACAAATGTATTAAGTTAAAATAGTTGGGGGACAAATAAAAAAAATATATAATTCTAGCTAATTTAATTTCGATGAAGAAAAATTGGAAATACAATAAAACGCCTTAATCTATTTCATTTTATTTATTAATTTTTTTAAAGATTTTTTTTTGTTGTTGCTTTAACATATGATACTTGGGAAATTCCACTAATTGAAAATCACCTTTTCATGCTGCCCATTTCTCTCTTGATCTTACCTCTCCAAACATCGGACTGCCTTTGCGCACACATCGCAGACTAATTGAGTTCTGTTTCACTCTCCATGTTAATTCGCTTACACCGAACAGCTCGTTTTTATTTAGTCAGGAGAACTTTAGTTTAATGGACCGTGGACGTGTGTGCTTAATGGCAGGTAAGCTTGGTTAAAGCAAAAGACGGACAACGTTGAAAGGTGCGTGTAATGATTGTCCTTGTCACCACCAGTGTCCATAGATGTTAACAAGGACTTAATGGTGCCTCTTAATCTGTACATTCAGACGCACACGCGCTCTTTTTACGAGAAAAAAAAATGTAATAGGTAAGTTCTATCTTAACCTATAGCCTATTCCGTCACAGGTGAAAATGCGCATTCGGAATAACTTAATATTTGATCGATACGTTAAAAGTACTTTACTGTATATGTACACATATAATGAATATGCACTTTTTAGACCCCCAACCACTTCGCATCCCGCTACACTCAAAAACAGTTTCCAAAAGTAGTAGCTTTTATTATTATTTTTTTCCGCAGCGCTGCCATAGAATAACCATTTTGGATTCCCTAAAGAAACTTTCAGTGAACAGTTCTTGAAAGAACCATTTTTCCCATTTTCCAAAAAACATTTTAAAAGTCTAAAGACCTTCTCACTAAATAACCTTTTGTGCAATAGAAATTTCCATGGACGTTAAATATTCTTAATAGAACCATAATAAAGACCCTTTATAAGAGTGTAGTTGCTTTGTAGTCATATTCTGTTTTTACTTGAAGACAATCAAGCTCAGACAAGTCTGGATGATTTTGCCTCTGATAGCCTAAATGAGAATCGATCCTGTCTCTCCTCTATCGGAAGTTGATAAAGAGAATTTGAGCAATTTGAGAATGTTTTATCAACTTTTTTTAAATTCTGCATTTTTAAGTCCCTTTTTTACCCGTTCGGTGTTCATTAAAAATAGCAGAGGTACGGGTTCCCCGATTCACCTGTCTTTGCAGTAGAATCTAACAACTGCAGGTGTAGCACGTATAGTCGCAGGCAAACAGAAAGTGTTTGTACCGTAAATTTGACGGAATTTTTTTTACAGTGTGGTTACTCGGACCTCACATGTGATAGTAAATTTAAATCAAAATGCACGTATGTAATAAAAAAAAAACTACAGTAACCTATTTACGAGTGTAGCCAAAACTGCGCTTTCCTTTAGTTTTGTAAGACGAAGCATCCTGTGGGTGTAGGCCACCGGGTTTATCAACATCTGATTGTCGTTTTACATAACGCAATTGTACCATTATGATTTATCAGAACTCACATTATCGAGTCGCACTTGGACATACACATTACTCCTACTCAAACATACAAGTGGTTTCAGAACGCTTTTGCGTGTCTCCTAACTGGTTCCCCGATTCACCTGTCTTTGCAGTAGAATCTAACAACTGCAGGTGTAGCACGTATAGTCGCAGGCAAACAGAAAGTGTTTGCCAAGAGCATTGATTTGAGCATGGTCGGTTCTGTTCAATTATTGTCAAACCGCGGGGCAGTCGAAAGGAAACACGTACAGAATCTACTGCCAGTTGACAGCTTTGTGTAAACAGTGAAACCAATGGTGCAGCAGGGTCACATGTTCACGGTGGCACACCTATGAGGCCCTCGAACGGCGCCAGACGCTCAGACTGCAGGTAGAGCAGAGGTCCTGATCAGGTGCAGGGCGCTGGCTCGTGTGCTCGTGTACAGCACGGTTTCCCCGGTCTGTGGCAATCATGAATCGGGAAGAGCACTATTACCCTCCTAACCATCTGTACAAGGACTCTTGCGCCTTCCAGAGACAGCTAGCCGATTTTATGTACCAGTGCCTTAAGTTGTGTATTTCCTCTGTAGCATGGCAAAGCTACATTACATATCACTTTACACCATTATCCCTCTCATAACGTTCCATGGAAATGCTTTCAAATAGCGTCGTCTCACTCACGCTTCATAAAACATTTTGCACTCTTTCAACATTGTAAAAATAGTCGCGGATAACGGTTTCCTTCCCTTTTCAAACGAGGTCATATATAAACACCATTAAGCGTCTTTACAAGGCTTGATTTGCGAGGAATGGGTTTACCTGAATTTTATGATGTCGTATGAGAGCCCCATTAAGATAGGAGAGAAAGTGCCATTATTGTTATTTGAAGAGGTCCATGCAAACACAGAACTATGCCATAGGCCTATAGTCTGAATTACTCGAAATTTGCTTGAATATAGTGAAACATATATATATATATATATGTGTGTGTGTGGTTCTTAACTTGCCACTTTTTGAAGTCTTGGTAAATGCAAGGATGTACTAAAGAATAATGATTTAAATGTCCTTTGTCTTAAACTTTTAAAAATGTATTTACCCTCCACCGTGTCTGTATATGAGACAGACTCAGTCCGTCTACGCCTCATCGTCCTTGGGCGGCCAGGACCAGCCAAATCTTACCGATATTACTTCTTATAACACGTCGACCCGGGATGATCTGGCAGGGCCTCATCTTCACCTTTCCCAGACTCCTCAGACATCTCTACAGACGCTCGGCGGTTATGGAGACTCTCTTGACCTGTGCGGGGATCGGAACAGATACCATCTGCCATTCCCGTGGATGAAGTCAACGAAATCTCACACGCACGCTTGGAAAGGACAGTGGACAGGTAACCCTCGTACTTCGGCTATTAATTTTTCACCTTTAAGTTAAAAAAAACTTTTGATAAAATGAAATCAGGCCCCATAATGTCAAATTCATGCTTATGATCTCCGAAGTGCTTAAAAGAATCATTGTGTTACACTATCTCCATTTAAAAGTAGCCTATAGATAATTATATTATTATCCCATTTAGTTAAAAATAACAGCAATATATTTTCGTAGATTCCTAATGCATACATAGATGTTCAGAAAAAGAAAAGGTTGTACAGGACCAGTGTTCTGACAATGGGTTTCCCAAAAGCACCGTTTTCCACATCTTAATGCTGACACGCGGCCATGAAAAGTGGTATTGTGGTAAAAATCGTTACAATAGCCATAATTCAGTAATCTACACATCCCATTTTTCTTGAGTGGTCATTCAGTACAGTATAGGCCACACGTAAATAACTTTTTTTTTCTTTTAAAATCGCCCATAAGAAGAAAACCGTAAGAAAGGAAGTAAAAAAAAAAGTTAGTTTTTCGTTTCTTTAATAGTCTAGACATTCTATACTGCATACAATTGATGAGTTTTAGTTGCCTGATTTTTTTCCTAAATATTCACATAATTTCGAGAACAATATTAATCGTTATATTTATTATTATGATTATTATGCTACGATTATTAATTATTGTAAAATAAATATGATAAAAAAATAAAAAATAAAAGTGAAAAGCGATAACATTATAAAAATAATTCCCTATAGAATCTGATACAATTATTATTTAAAAAATATAATTAATATTATTATTTTGCACTCTCAGAAAAAAAAGGTACAAAAGCTGTCACTGGGGCAGTACCTTTTCAAAAGGTACACTTTTGTACCTTTTAGGTACTAATATGTACCTTTAAGGTACCAATATGGACTGTTTAGGTACAAAGGTGTGCCTTTTGAAAAGGTACCGCCCCAGTGACAGCTTTTGTACCTTTTTTTTGTCTGAGAGTGTGGGATTAAAATGATGACCTGATGAACATAAATATTACTTGACACGTGCAAAGTCTCTTGTTTATGGACCAGTTCTACAGTGAAAATTAATCTGATCTTGATTTCTTTTAGCTACTTTACATAAATGCTTTTTTAAGACTAATGTTAATTCCTCTATTAGTAGTCTATTTGATTAGAAAACGAAAAAGAGAAGATTATTCTTGAAAGACCATCAGACGTCGGACAAAACAGACGGTGTTTCTAGAGGCGAATGCACGTCAAATTTCACCAGATGAGTGATTATTTAGCCTATTTTCCGAAAACTATAACAACCCTTCGAATTTCACCACATGAGTGATTATATAGCCCATTCTCCGAACAACCTTCAAATGCTTAGCCTACACTATTTCTTGTCAATAAATCTAATAATATCACACGTACTGAATAAAAAGTAGACTACTTAAAGTAATTTAGAGTTAATAGCATTTTCATTCGTTTTAATATGAACTACAAACTGAATTCAGTTAGGAGGTTCTGACCTTTGAGTTGATGCCTTTGAGTTTAACCACCCAAACGTTCAGATAACTTTTAAACTGTAATATCCTCAGAGGCAGATGGTGTGACTGTGTCGAAACATGACCTTACTAAAATGTCACTCCTGTAATTCTGTTATAGGCCCTTACATGGTAGAGGCCGAGGAGAGCAAGCGCACGCGGACAGCTTACACCAGAGCGCAGCTGCTCGAGCTCGAGAAAGAGTTTCTCTTCAACAAGTACATCTCGCGCCCGCGCCGCGTGGAGCTCGCGCTCACCCTCGGCCTCACAGAGAGACACATCAAGATCTGGTTCCAAAACCGACGCATGAAGTGGAAAAAGGAGGGGGACAAGAGGAGAGCCAGAGGAGTGGATCCCGAACAGGATTCCTCCATCACGTCCGGAGATCTCAAGGATGAGTCGTGTGTCGCTCCGGGAACTCTAACGGGACCCCCTTCACCCCTGCACTCACGTACCTCCAGTCCCACAAGACTGGGCCAAAAGAGATATGTGTCATCATCAACACAATCTGTCAGCCTGCCATCGATGAGTGGAACTATATAAGTGTGCCACATCTCATTCTCACATGTGACACTGACAACTGTTAGTCAAATCCTGTAAATCTGTACAGTACTGCTAAAAGATTGACAGTAGAGGGCGATCTCAGTTGTGTGAGAGGCGATGCTTCTGTGGAGTCAATTTCTTGGAAGGTCTTTTTGTGTAATAGAAATGCATGACGTCATTGAAACATCAAATGTTCATTTTAAAAACGTATTTATAGATAGACAACGAATAGTCAAAAAGCCTTTCTATCATGAATGTCTTTATTAATTGTATTCATACTATTTATGCAGCTACTACTAAACAAATTAAAAGCATGTGTGCAGTGTGGCGTCATGTCATTTGTTTTAATTTGGTGCACATAAGAATAGTAATCATAAACCAAAGTTTATTAACCGATGCGACAAAAACAACACAATATGCAATAATTTCATTTAGGCTACTGAAATTATTCATTATTAATTATTATGGCGGTAGGTAGCCTGCATGTAACCTATGTTTCAAACAAAACCACAGGCTACTAAATTGCTAAATAGATGCTCGAAAGCTTGCTAGGAGGTAACCATAGCAACATTAGCTGTTTGAGCATTTTTATAGGATCACTATGGGTACATCTACAAAAGCATAAGTAATGCCATTTTTATCACTCCATTTTATTATAGATTACAGAGCATCACAATGTTAACTTGCTGCGTTAGAGGTGCAAAAAAAATGTGGCATATAGGAATTCTGGGCCCCTTGCTATGGGGCCCCCTCAAAATCACTTTGTCGAGGACATCTTTCATCGTTAATCTTTCAGGGGACATCGTTCTGGGCCCCTCTCACCCTCTGGGCCCTATATGCACTCGGTCCCCCCTTTCTCCGGTAGCAACGCCCCTGGTCTTTAATAACGTTCTCAAAACATTAGCACAAAACAATACATCATTCATGGAACGTTTTTCTGAAACATTTTAGTTGGATGTTACTACTTACTAGCGTCAGAGGGTTCAGAGAACATCAAAAGTAATTTTCCCATCGCGTTTGCAAACTGATCAAATAGGCTACGTAACCCTTAATTGTTACGTTCACATAACCAAGAAAAAAAAAGACGTTTGTTTTAAACATTTAAAAACCTGGACGTTATAAAACATTCAGAAGACATGAGAAATAACGTTTTCATAACTGAATGGGTTAACGTTTTTAGAACAATGTTACTTCATATGGATCAATTCATTTGTAGGCATAGCTTATGTTTTGTCTGTTACCTACTTATTAAAGAAATATACAATCAAGTAGAAAGATGCAGTAAACACTTTTTGCAATGGTAACTTGAGTTACAGTTTGGTTTGAATGTCAGATAGGACAATATTGCGTAACCTGAGGCTACAGATTTTTGTAACCTCTTCGACCGCGCGCTCTCGCTCCGCTGCACGGTCGTTCTTCAGGCGTTCAGACAGTTGGCGCACAATGTCTGCTTTGCTGTTGAGACGGGCACAGATGACAAAAGGGAAGCCAAAGCGCTCCTTGTACTCTGTGTTTAGACGGTACATTTGCAGACTCTCTGCGGAATCCAGTGTGGTCATACCGGCTTGACTCTGCTCTTCTTGAGACTCGCGTGTTAGAGTCCCGCTCTGGAGGTCCAGACCCGCCAAATCAGGGTGACACCGCAAAACGCCCTCTTTACCTGAACAATTGAATTGAATGTACTTAACCAGTAAATAAAATATTGTGTTTAAAACGTAAGGAAACGTGATTTTGGTAAATACACAAATCAGAAAAATGTACCTGAGTCTGGTAGACTGTGAATGAATTCCTTTATGTGAGCCTCGATGTCCGCTAGATCTTTGAATGGCCGGTGGGACCATATTGCAGCCGGAATGAGGGGGCATTTCTCAACCACATTACCGAATAGTTTCACAAAATCCTCGTATGTTAGAGCATTTACAACGTTTATGTCCATGGCTCCGGTGCGTGTCCTCTACAAACTGTAGGCTAGTAGCTACTGGAAATACCAAAAGCCAATATTGGACGAGGTCAACGTCCGTTGGGGCAATTACTGTAACTGTTGCCATCTAAATAGCCTAGTTGTCTCAATGAGGCAGGTAAGGAGGATGAATACTCTCATTACACAATACAGGTATGCTTATTGGGGTTTATATATTTAATGCAAGAGTCCGCCAGTAGGCTTATAATGGACTCTTGCTGGTAGCCTATGGAGGTGGATAGCCTAGTTTAAATAGGCTGCCTACGCCAGTGTTAGATTTAGTAGGGTCTGTGCTAACATGAGATCAGTAAAATGTTTTCTGGGACCTGTATGAACCAAATCCAATGATCTTGGTTTGCTTGGAAATGGTTTTCTTCGTAGGCTATCTCTGTTCATGTGTTTTTATTTACCACCTTTAGCCTATAATGAGCGTAAATATGGCTAATGATGAGCAGAAAAAAGTCACGTGATTGAAACGATTGAACGTGACTGAAACGGATGAGAAATGAAGTAAAACAGCTTCACAAAACATACACACACACACACACACACAAACATAAATATCTTAAATTTGGATTAAACATTAAATAAAGAGACGTGCTGAAATCGCGTTTGGTCTTGTACTGTATCGCGTACCTTGTCAGTGTCGTGCGCTTTGCTTGGCCATTTGTTGTGATAAACAGGAAAGTGTGTCCAGCTGAATTCAATTTGAGTTTTGTTAAACGAATAAAAAAAAAGAAGCGTAGTTTACCGCGGAAGCGGCCGTGTGAAGACCGAAGAGTGTAAAGACCATCGACTACCGCGCGACTCCACCGGGCAGGACACCGGCAAGGGACATAAGTATCGCTTTTTATTTCTCCTCTTTCCTATTACTTGTTTCACTTCTGTTTCATTTTTTTTATAACCATTTCTTTCTATGTGTCAGTAAGTTGTTGTTATTTTAGCATGTGTGTTTGGCTCAGTGTTATTTTTTTAGGATTACTGATAAACTACTGTAGTTTGATTTGTATTAGTTATCTATTTTAGTTTTAGTTACAGTTGTAGTAATGTTGTCATTTTATTAGTTTTTTATTATGTCTATATAGGTTTTTTAATAAGTTTTAGTTTTATGTAATTTGAGTTATTTCGGTACTTCAACATACAAAATGGATATGAAATAATATATATATTGAATGTATTTATATATATATATATATATATATGCCCTTATAATTTGAATTGTTTTTAGCTTTATTATTATTTTTTTTTTTTCATTTAAATATTTCGTTTTGAAATGTTGTATGCATTTGTCACTTTTATTTAATTTCTTTTATTTTCTTAAATGTGTATATATATAGTATTTATAGAGTATTCAGACCCCCTTAAATTTTTCACTCTTTGTTTTGAATCGTTTTTAGCTTTATTTTTTTGTTTTCATTTAAATGTTTAGTTTTGAAATGTTGTATGCATTTGTCACTTTTATTTAATTTCTTTTATTTTCTTAAATGTGTATATATATAGTATTTATAGAGTTTTAGCTTTTAGTTTTAATTACTTTTTCTTATTTGTAAGTCGCTTTGGATAAAAGCGTCTGCTAAATTACTAAAAGTAAAAGTAAATAAATAGGCCTATTAAAGACTAAACAATAGCTATTGTTCTTATTGTTTGCTGTACAGTTAATTGTTTTGGTTAATATTTGAATTTTTTTTTAGTTTAGATTTCGCTTTGAAATTTTATGTTGTAACTAACTAATGTTGTATGCTATATCATGACAATGTAAATATTGAGATCATGTTATAGGTCTGATAACAGTTGAAATGGGTTGTACACCAAAGTTAAGGACAAATAAGGACAAAGACGACCCAAGAGTAAGAGGTTTTCCTGGTTTTATGCTAAATATTCTGACCCCCTCTCTTCTGAACTACACCCCTGGTGTCACTGGATCATGCACCGTGGCGCCACCCTCTGTAGGTCTATGATATAAACACCTTCAGTCAAAACACCTAGGCCTATTCCATTTATAAAACACTATGAAGTTACAGTACACAGAATCATAAGACACAAAATGCACAATTGATGTTTTATTTGCTTTTTTTGCATCTTAAACCTTACAAATATTTTTTCAATATTTTCAAAAACATTTTACAGTTTGTTAACTCCTTTTCAATTCTCATGCCCACTCGGTCTCAGTGGACTGAAAAAGTTAAGAATGCTTAACCTAAACAGTAAAGGTGATTTTGAGTTGCTGACTGTTAGAAAGACACTGAAATGTAAGTTATGGACTACATTGTTTATATAAAATCTGCACAAATGTGCAAATTAAATTCCTGTTAAGCATAAGCATAACTAAGCATACTGTAGACTATTCTTATTACATGATAAATAATATTTCAAGAATAATGATTAAACCATAAATGTCTAAGATGTTTGAATAAATATAATGAAAAGTTAAAAATAAAGACAAAGTTTTTTGTTATAAAAATAGAGCAATTTCACCTGCAAAATGCAGCAAAATAAAATAAAAATAAAATAATTTATAATCTGTTGTACTTCTCAAGCACAGCATCTCTTGTAAGCATTCATTATAAAGTACAGAAACAGGTTATTCAGCTGTTACAGTGGTAATGTACACGTTCTAGAATTCTAATTAAAATTGGGAAGGTTATATATATATATATATATATATATATATAATATGTTATATATGTTTATAAAAAAGCTTCCTGCACAAAACAACATTCAAATACTGTATGTTATTAATTACGCTGTAAACACTTGTGGAAAAAAGTGAAAATTTGTTAATAGGCCTTAAAAAAATATTAAACACATTATTGGTGGTACAATACGCACATAAATTATTCATTCCAGTACCTTCCACATTTTCTCTTAGGAATTAAAAATGCTTTGTGTAAGTAGCTATTAATGGAAGCACAAGTTATGCATTATGTTTTCCTAATGCAAGGCTTAAACTCTTATGTTCAAACAAGCGCTTCTGTTCTTACTGATCCAGGATTGTCCACAGCTTTGCTTTCATCTGAATTCTCAGAGTCGGACTGGCAGACATTCAGTTTTTTCTCAATCGATGTAGCATCAGGGGTCATGGGTGCATTCTGGTATGTTATGTCATTGTGGCAGTATCCTCCAACATTGTAATACAGCTGTAGACAGATATCACAGTAAGTGTGCATCCACCAACACTTTTAGCCCATTTTTAAAATAACTTTCACATAAAAGTCACCCTTTCTTCCAAAGCAGACAGCTCTTTTTCCATGAAAGCTACAAGCTTGGAGAAACAAGGCCGGTCGACAGAATCAAGCATCCAGCAGCGACACATTACCTTGTAACTAAACATACACAAACACATTTTAAATATCATTCTCCAGTATTTATATATATATATATATATATATATATATATATTAGAATGTGTCATTCACAGTTATTCCAGGATATGGGGTGACTCCTAATAGTAAGTACAAGATATGTTCATATGTTTAATCAAAAGTGATTTATAAGACTTTTCTTGGCTAAATACAAGCTAAAAGCTGTATACAGCAGAGAGAGAAGAGAGAGAGACACCTAGAGAAAATATTTCCCATAGCAGAATGCCATAGGCCCAGACATCACTCTGCATTGTGTAAACCCCTTTGAAAATACTTTCAGGAGCCATCCACTTCACGGGCAAACGCACCTGCAAAAATGTCATGTATACAATTATAATTACAAGTCAGCTAAATAAAGACCAGTCACATCAAGGCTATCACATGTGCACACACAATACCTACATTTCCTCTTACAACATAGTTGGAATCATGTTCAATGTCTCTTGCGAGGCCAAAGTCACCAATCTTCACCTGTCTGCCATGTGTCACCAAAACATTTCTGGCTGCCAAGTCCCTATGGATACACTGTAGGCAGAAAATTGTTCACTAAAGCCTTTTTTACACTATATAACAATATGAGAAAACAAATCAAGAAATGAAGCCAAATATGTCTAACAATGATTTGACTGTGCAAAGTGTACAGAAGCTACTCTGGGTTGTAACATGCTCATGTAGTATTCAGAGATAACATTAGAAAAAAAGTGTAAAAATAAGTTAATAAAGCTGTTAGTTTTATCTCTGTTGAATGGCAGGAAGTAGAAGTATCATGATCAGAAAGTTAAGCTCACATTTTTAGAGGACAGGAACTCCATGCCCTTTGCAACTTCAAAAGAGAAACTCAGAAGATCATCATAAGTGAGACTGTGAAGTTCCTCTTCTTGATGTTTGTCTTCACATTCAAGCATTTCTTTACAGAATTGACATAAACGATTGTTTATTTTCTAATGTCTTTTTTTAATTATTAGTTATTTGTTATCAAATAAAATGAGAATATAGATATTCTACAATCATACAATCACACATACTATAAATTGATGTTTTATGATCAGATGCATGTGAAACCAAGCGAATATGAATAATAAAACATTGGTTTTTAATAAAAAAAGTTAAAAATAATAATAATAATAATGACATTTTGATAAATAAAAAGTCTGATAACTTAAAAGTCACTGTTTAATTCATACAGTTGATGATCTCTAGTTTAAAAAAATTCAGATTCTCCCTTTCTCCACCTACCCTCAACAGTAGACACTGAGCTGATGCTGGGACTGAAGAGTGCCTCGTTCTCCTGTCCTTTGGTTGCAGGTGTCATGTGGACGTATTGGTTGCAATCAGGCTCAATATACTCACTGTGGAGGCACAACAAGGAGAGAGAAGCACACAGTCATTTACAGTAATGACAGTTTATTCATTTATGTGCACCTTTACATTTACGGTTCCACTTCAGCACAATATATTCATTTCCCTCTCGTCCACACTGGGTTTTTTTTTCTTTGTTAAAAAGGCCACTGCTGTAATTCTCTGCTTGGTGGACATTTATGCAAACCTGGAGTTTCTCTTCTGCTGGAAGTTGTGGTAGAGGCCCCTGAATCTGTCCCTGTTGAAAGCGTCCGTCAGATATTTGTGAAAACGTTCCCTGTTGCTCTTCAGGTAGTTCA